GCGTTTAAGTCAATGCAGGAGAGAGAAAGCTACATAACAGACATCCTGAGAGGAGCGATCATGGGGAGACAAAGAAACAGCCCCCATATGAAAGAGGAGGAATCAGTAGAAAATGAAGTAAATGAAATGGAGGCAAGCAATATTTCAGAGAAAGAATTCAGATCAATGGTCATAAGGACACTGAAAAGGATGGAAGACAAATTCAATAATATGTGTAAGAACCAAGAGGAAATGAAGAAGAACCAAGAAGAAATGAAAAAAATAACATCACTGCAACAAAAAACACAATAGAAAGCATCAACAGTAGACTAGAAGAAGTGGAAGACTGCATCAGTGAGCTAGAAGACAAGGTAGGAAAAAATACCCAAACAGAACAGCAATTGGAAAAAGAAAACACCTTAAAAAAACAGGAGGAAAGCCTACGGGAACCTTGGGACAACACAAAATGAAACAACATCTGCATAATAGGGGTGCCATAGGAGAGGAAACTGAGCAAGGACTAGAAAACCTGTTTGAAGAAATAATGAAAGAAAACTTCCCTAATGTTGGGAAGAAGAAAAAACTCACAGAAGCCCAAGAAGCTCACAGAGTTCCAAAAAAGATGAACCCAAAAAGACCAACACTAAGACACATTATAATTAATTTGGCAAACACTAACAACAAAGTAAAAGTCTTAAAGGCTGCTAGAGAGGGACAGAAAGTTACCTACAAGGGATCTCCCATCAGACTATTGACTGATTTCTCAACAGAAACACATCAGGCCAGAAGGGAATGGAATGAAATATACACAGTCACGCAAAGCAAGGGTCTGAATCCAAGAATACTGTATCCAGCAAGGCTATCAATCAAAGTTGAGGGTGAAATCAGGAGCTTCACAGATAAAAAAGGACTAAGGGCGTTTATTACTACCAAACCAGCAATGCAAGAAATGCTAAAGGGTCTGCTGTAAAATGAAGAAATAGGAAGGGAAGAAGGAACATAGACATAAAGTATAAAAATTGTGACAAACAAGCACCTATCAATAATAACTTTAAATGTAAGTGTATTAAATGTACCAATCGAAAGACATTGAGTAGCTGAGTGGATAAGAAAATATGACCCATATATCTGCTGTCTACAGGAGACCCACCTCAGAACAAAGGACTCACACAGACTGATGGTGAAGGGATAGAAACAGTTTTATCAGGCAAATGGAAATAAAAGAAAAGATGGGGTAGCAATACTTATATCTGACAAATTAGACCTCAAAGTAGGCCATAACAAGAGATAAGGAAGGCCACTTCATAATACTAAAGGGACCAATTCAACACAAAGATATAACTCTGGTAAACATATATGCACCCAATACAGGAGCATCCAAATACATAAAAAAAACCACTTCTGGAGGATATCAAGGGAGAGATTGACAGCAATACAGTCATAGTAGGGAACTTTAATACCCCACTAACCCCACTGGATAAATCCTCTAAACAAAAAATCAGCAAAGAAACATCAATCCTAAATGTCTCACTAGATCAGATGGAATTAATTGACATCTTCAGAACATTTTACCCCAAAGCTACAGAATATACATTCTTCTCAAGTGCACATGGGTCATTTTCAAAGATAAACCACATATTGGGACACAGGCAAAGTCTCCCCAAATTCAAGAAGATAGAAATCATATCAAGCATCTTCTCAGATCACAATGGAATAAAATTAGAAATCAACTACAATAACAACAATGAAAACAATCAAACAAATGGAGGCTAAATAGTATGCTATTAAACAATGATTGGGTTACCAAAGAGATCAAATAAGAAATAAAAAGCATCATGGCAACAAACGACAATGAAAACACAATAATCCAAAATCTATGGGACACAGTGAAAGCCGTCTTGAGAGGGAAGTTCATAGCTCTACAGGCCGACCTCAAAAAACCAAGAAAACATGGTAATAAATTATCTAACCCAACAACTGAAAGAGTTAGAAAGAGAGCAACAAGAAACGCCCAGCATAAACAGAAGGTAGGAAATAATAAAGATCAGAGCACAAACGACATAGAGACAAGAAAAAAAAAATACAAAAGATCAACAAAACCAAGAGTTGGTTCATTGAAAGGATAAACAAGATTGATGAACCTCTAGCCAGGCTCACCAAGAAGCAAAGAGACAGGACCCAAATAAACAAAATCAGAAATGAAAGAGGTGAAGTAACAACTGATCCCACAGAAATACAAGGGTTTATGAAAAATTACTATGAACAACTCTATTCCAACAAAATGGACAACCTAGGCAAAATGGACATATTCTTAGAAAAATACAAACTCCCAAGACTCAATCAGGAAGAATAGAAAAACCTGAATAGGCTGATAACTACCAAAGAAATTGAAGCAGTGATAAAAAATCTTTCAGCAAACAAAAGCTCTAATCTGGATGGCTTTACAGGGGAGTTCTACCAAGCATTCAAAGAAGAACTAAAACCTATTCTCCTCAGACTAATCCAAAAAATTCAAGAGGAAGGCACACTTCCAAGCTGATTCTATAAAGCCAGCATTACCCTCATTTGTTGACTATAATGAGCAACATAAATTGATGAACAAAAACAGATTTAGAGACAGAAAAGCATCGATCAGATGCTTAAACCTCAGGTAGGGGAGGGTGGGGGTAAGGGGGAGAGATCAACCAAAAGACTTGTATGCATGCATATAAGCATAAGCGATGGACGCAGACAACAGGGGGTGAGGGTGAGGGCAAGACTCGGGGGATGAGGGGACAATGGGGGGATAAAGACACATTTGTGATACCTTAATCAATTAAAAGTTAAAAAGAATGGGCAAAGGACCTAAATAGACACTTTTCGAAAGAGGACATACAGAAGGCCAAGAGACATATGAAAATATGATCAAAGTCACTAATCATCTGAGAGATGCAAATCAAAACAACAATGAGATACCATCTCACACCTGTCAGAATGGCTATCACCAACAAATCAACAAACGACAAGTGCTGGAGAGGATGTGGAGAAAAAGAAAACCTCATGCACTGCTGGTGGGAATGCAGACTGGTGCTGCCACTGTGGAGAACAGTATGGAGTTTCCTCAAAAAGTTAAAAATGGAACTCCCATTTGACCCAGTGATTCCACTTCTAGGAATATATCCCAAGAAACCAGAAACACTGATCAGAAAGGATATATGCAACCTTATGTTCATAGCAGCACAATTTACATAGCTAAGATTTGGAAACAACCTAAGTGCCCATCACCAAATGAGTGGATTAAAAACTGTGGTACATCTACACAGTGGAATACTATGCTGTTATAAAAAAAGAAGCAACTTTTACCATCTTCAACAGCATGGATGGAACTGGAGAGCATTATGCTAAGCCAAATAAACCAGTCGGAGAATGATAAATATCACATAATCTCACTCATATGTGGAATATAATGATCAACATAACTTGATGAACAAGATTAGATCCAGAGACAAATGGCAGGGGAGGGGGGTTAGAGAGCAACCAAAGGACTTGTGTGCATGCATATTAGCATAACCAATGGACACAGACACTGGGACAGTGGGGGCTTGACTGGGGTTTTAATATCTGGGGGGAGGGGTTGTCCATCAGAGAAAGGAGACATATGTAAAACTTTAGAGAATAAATAAAAACAAAATTAAAATAAAAGTAAATAAAATTATCATCAATAAATAAAAATCAAGTGCTAGTGAGGATGTAGAGAAAAGAGAACTCTATTGCACTGCTGGTGGAAATGCAGACTGGTGCAGCCACTGTGAAAAATGGCATGGAGTTTCATCAAAAAATTAAAATGGAATTTCCTTTGGACCCAGGGATACCACTTTTGGGAATATATCCTAAGAATTCCAAAATGCCAATTCAAAAGAATATATGCACCCTTTTGTTCATAGCAGCATTATTTGCAATAGTCAAGATCTGGAAACAATCCAAGTACCCATCTGTAGATCAATGGATAAAAAATCTGTGATATATTTATACAATCGAATACTATGCAGCCATAAAAAAGAAAGAATTCTTACCTTTTGCAACAGCATGGATGGACCTGGAGAGCACTATGCTAAGTGAAATAAGCCAGTGGGTAAAAAAATAAATACCATACGATCTCACTTATATGTGGAATCTAATGTACAAAATAAACTGATCAGAAAATGATCATGGAATAGATTAACAGCTGTCATAGGGGAGAGAGAGGGGAGACTGGATGAAAGAAGGTAAAGGAATTAACCAAGGAACATATATGCATAGCTGACAGACACAGACAACAGTGTGGTGATGACCAGAGGGAAGGGTGGGTGTGGGCATGGGGGAGATGGGTAAAGGGAGGGGGGAGGAAATGGGGACATCTGTAATAGTGTAAACAATAAAAATGAAGTAAAAAAATAGTCTGGATAAAACTTGTGATCTTAAATTACACATTATTTATCTCTCTGTCTGTAAGAGAACCATGTTTTGTGACTTTAGGCTGTTCCAAAGCTCATCTTTCCCACAGAAATTTCCCAAACCACACAGAAAATTGAGGGTATAAGGCATTTCCCTTTATAACCAGTCTTTTTTAGAAACACTATTTTCTAACACTCTTATTCTTCAGGATAATCTTCCATAATTATCTACATTTGCTGTTTTCATTACTGACTCTTAAAAACACCTTCTCCTCAATTTATAAAACAATAAATTCCACCTTTTGAGGTCATACTCAAGTTTTACCTCCTCCCGTATGTCTTCCCACACAATTTTAGCCCCAATAATGCTTTCTTCCTCTGAATACCTACTGTCATAGATGGTTATGTTTTGCTCCTGATTGAACTAAGCTATAGAAAGTGATTCAGGTTTGCCTTTCTGGCTCCAAGTAACCTCTATTTTAGGAAAATATTTCTTCTATTTCTTAGTAATATCTCCTCTGTAGATTGTAGGGTAAAGGTCTCACTCTTCTCTGCTTTGTTTATAGACCTTGCAGCCCCCTTGACAGAGATATTAAAAATTATTTATACCTGAAATTGGTACTGGCATCTGCATCAGAAGGATGGCAACAAAATACATGAACTCCATTATAAGTCAGATAAGAAGATGAGGAAATTCAATGACTCTAAAAAAAAAAATATGTTGATGTACATTAGTGAACAGTAACTGAACAAAGGGACTATTTCTAACTCTTAACCTTTAGAAATTTGTTCTTTGTCAATGATTTAAAAAATAGTAATAATATTCCTATATGCCTCAATATCACTGAGTTTCTCACTGTTGCTCAGATGGTCTTGTTCTCTTCAACTGCTACTAAACAAACTTAGTGGAAGAAGCAATAAATTTGAGGCGCATTCCCTGATATACAAGAGTTTGGCTCCATGAATGTTCAATCTAAGTTTATTTCCTATCAAATCACAGGCAGCTGCTTCCTTGCATGGAGATCAACTAGGGATAGATCATAATTCTAATGGAGCTACATAGGAGGTTGGAGAGATAGAAATCAGAATTGTGGCATCATAGAATCAACAAAATAGTCTAAAGAGATTGAGCTCCAAATAGAGGTCATCCACTGAGAGAAAGTTCTGTCTGGCACAGAAGTGGTATAATTAAAGAAATCAACTTGTTAAGACAAATTGCCATGGAATATGCCAAAAGGAACTGGCATGTTCCATATAAAATCTGAGAAATTTTCTTCTACCCTATAAATATTAACTCTATGACTAAGAAAATAAATTATAAATTACTGGTTTCATATTTCCTTTTTATATTGGATAAGTTTTGAATATGCACTAATTGCAGATATGAGAAGGTGAGAGATGAGGAAATGCTGAATCATGAACATTAAAATATCAAGTTAAATAGATAGAATTTTACCTTAAGGAAAAATTAGGAATATTGAAGAAGGACATAGGCCATATCTGCACTTTATTTTATTTCTATTATGTTTTATTCCCCACTCAAAGACATACTTAGAGAGAAGAAGAGAGAGAGAGAAACATTAATGTGAAAGAGAAACATTAATTGGTTGCCTTCCATACATGCCCCAAGTGGGGATCTAACCCATAACCCAGGTATATGCCCTAATCAGGAATCAAACCAGCAACCTTTCAGTGCACAGTGCACAGGACAACATCCAACAAACTGAACCACTCTGGACAGATAACACTTTGGTAGTAGTGGAGACACTTATTTGAAAAGGAGTAAATTGAGAATAAGGAGGTCAATTAAGCAATAAAAAACAGTGGTGATGGAAAAGATGAAAAATCACATATATGAAATATTTATAACTTCAATATGATTAATTAATCATTAAATAAAACAAAAATAATATCCACACAACAAAATATAACAACAGACTCACCAAAATAGCTAAAATCCTATATAATAAAAGGCTAATATGCAAATCGACCAAACAGACGAACAACCGGTCACTATGACATGCACTGACCACCAGGGGGCATACACTCAATGTAGGACCTGCCCCCTAGTGATCAGTGCACTCCCACAGGGTAAACTCTGTTCAGCCAGAACCCCGGCTCATGGCTGGTGAGCGCAACAGTGGTGGTGGGAGCCTCTTCTGCCTCTGCCACAGCACTAAGGATGTCTGACTGATGGCTTATGCTTGCTCCCCAGGGGGAGTGGACCTAAGTCGTCAGTTGAACATCCTCCGAGGGCTCCAGAATACAAGAGGGCACAGGCCAGGTTAAGGGACCCCCCCAAGTGCATGAATTTTGTGCCCTGGGCCTTTAGTTAAAAAAATATATATGGAGAACACAGAATGTTGGCAAGGATATGAAATAACCCAACTAGCACACTCAAACAGTATAAGGGACAATATAAAATAATAAAATCATATTGAAAACTTTAGGCAGTATCTACAAATGCATATATCATTCTTAGAAATATAGCCATCAGAAATGTAAACATATATTTACTAAAAAACATGTACTAGAAAATTCCTAACACTATTCATAATAACCTCAATGGGTAATGTTCAAAGTGCCCATAACAGTAGAATAGATAAATAAATAAATTATATTCCATTCATGCAACAGAATTATCTAAAACAGAAATGAGCAATCTACAATACAACAATATGGTCAGATCTTACAAACATGATATTAGGCAAAGGAGGCCATTCTAAAAGGGTACATGCTACATAAATTCTGATCCCACTTATATAAGGAAGGTATAAAAAAGAGATATACACAAAAATATCCATGCTGTTAGAAGTTAAAATTATGTTACTGTGACAGAGGGAGTGGACAAGTGTCTATAAGAGAGCACAAGGATGATTCAGGCTATATGGACGTGCTTAGATTACAGAAATTGGTGAAATAATATAATCCAATAAATTTATGTCTTTTTAGGTATTATATAGTTTAATTCAAATTAAAAAATACATAAATTGCTATGTTTACTAACTTATAAACTAAATATTATGAAAAGGACAATGCATTCCAAATTGATCTTTAAATAAAGACATAATCATAATGTAAAACATCCAGTAGAATTTTGATGGGGATTGCTTTGGAAATATAGCCATTTTAATGATGTTCTTTATTCCTATCCATGAACATGGAATATATTTCCATTTCTTTGTGTCTTCCTCAATCTCTTTTAATAATATCTTGTATTTTTCAGTGTATAGGTTTCTCACATACATCACAGAAATACAAAGTATCATACAAAAATACTGTGAAAGACTATATGCTACCAAATCCAATACCTCAAAGGAATAGATATATTCCTAGAAATACATAACCTTCCTAGACTGAATCATGGAAAACTGGTAAATAGGAGAAATTAAAAATGGTGGTGGAGTAAGTGGATGCTGCATGGACATGCTCCCAGGAATGAACTGGAATTACAACTAAAACACAGAAAAAATTCCTGAATATTCAATGAAAGACTTGCTGGAGAGAACCCTGATACTCGAGGACCCAAAGTGGAGATCACATTGAGACTAGTTAGAGGGGTAGAGGCACAAAAGGTCTGGCTGGGCACCCACAGACAGCAACTGAAGTTCTGGAGGACTATCTCAGCTGTGGGGGATTCCCACTGAGAATGCTGAGGTGAAATCCCCAAGCCAGGCCCCCCAGTAGAGAGCACCATAACTGAGAAGGATACTCACATAATATCTGGCTGTGAAAAGCAGCAGAGCTGCTGCCTGCCAGGGAGAGATAGCTGAAAATTCAGGCACCCTCTTAAAGTCCCAATGCACAAAATTCCCTGTAGTGCCATCTATCTTATGCTCCAGCAGAGGGAGGGCAGAGTGGGCTGGAGCTGGGTGAGCAGAAGCCAGGTTCAAGGATGCTGGGGTTAGAGCTCAGAAGCAGACACCCCGCTTCCCTGTGCAGAGTCATTCCCTCATGCTGAGGAGGACATCTTTCTCATGCAGGCATTAGTTATACCCCCAGCTGACCCACCCTATTGGAAAACAACTGGCCCCACAGTGAGAAGTTCCTGAGGCCACTTAAGAGACAAAAATAGCAATTAGCCTCCAGACAGAAACAACTTGAAAAAAAACAATAACAACAACAACTCTAGCCACACCTGAGGACTACTGCCTTAGGGGAATTCAAATCAGAAGCCTATCAATATGCAGGCAGAGACAGTCTCTGGAGGCCTTGAGTCTTTGCCTGATCTAATTAGCCAGAAACAGCGTTTGATACTCTCCTACACTAGAGATTGAGAGGCATAGTAGACCTACCTGATACATAGTCACAAACCCAAATAGGCAGGCAAAATGAGGAGACAAAGAAACAATCCAAAATAAAAGAACAAGAGAATTCTCCAGAAGAAGAAATAAATGAAGTGGAGATAAAAAATTTGTTTGAAACAGAGTTCAGAGAAATGATGGTAAAGATGCTCAACAGCATGAGAAAAGATATAGTAACTATGAAAAAAGAAGAGTCTGAGATAAAGAATGACATAACACAAATAAAAAACACACTGGAAGAAATACACAGCAGATTAAGAGAAGCTGAGGATTGAATCAGTGATTTAGAAGACAAGGTTAAAAAATCACTCAACCAGAGAAGCAAAAAGAAAAAAAAAACAATTAAAAAACAGGACAGCTTAAGGGAGCTGTGGGACAACATGAATTGTAACGATATTAGAATAGCAGGTGTATCAGAAGGGGCAGAAGGGAGAAAAGGATAGGGAATGTGTTTGAATAAATAATGGCAGAAAACTTCCCTAACCTGGTAAAGGAAAAAGTTCTACAAGTTCAGGAGGCACAGAAAACCCCAAGCAAGAAAAACCCATACAGGCTCATGCTCAGACACATCATAATTAAAATGCCAAAAATGAAAGACAAAGAGAGAAACTTAAAGGCAGCAAGAGAAACACAATTTTTTACCTACAAAGGAACTCCCATAAAGCTTACAACTGATTTCTCATCAGAAACTTTATAGGCCAGAAGGGAATGGCATGAGGTACTCAAGGTAATGGAAAGCAAAGATCTGAAACCAACATTACTATATCCAGCAAGACTATCATTTAAAATAGACAGTCAGAGAGAAACCAAGATGGCGGTATAGGTTAACGCCGGAGTTTGCTGCCTCGAACAACCACTTCAAAAATACAACTAAAAGATGGAACGGACATCATCCAGAACCACAGGAAGGCTGGCTGAGTGGAAGTTCTACAACTAGGAGGAAAGAGAATAGCATACCGAGACTCAGAGGAGGCGCAGTGCTGAAGTCAAATACAAAGGTGCGGAGTGCATGCTGAGCAGGCTGGAGGCTGAGGGTGAGGTTGTTGTTTTCAATCTGGAGGGAGTCCCAGGCTCTGAGCTCCAGTTACGGGGGAGTCTCTAGGGACCCAGACTCATACAGGAGAAGCGGGACCGTCTGGCTTCGGTCGGAACTCAAAGGCAGCTTTCTCTCTGAGGTTTGCAGCAGTTGCTGGTACTCTGAGAGGCAGAGCCCCTGGGGACGGGACTGAGAGCAGCCATAACTGCTCACTCCACCCGCCCTGTTGATCCCCTGGGACCCGTCCCGCCCGAGCCCTGCACAGAGGCATTTGGCGGATGGCGTCGGCCTGCGGACTGAAAGGTCCCAGGTTCGATTCCAGTCAAGGGCATGTACCTGGGTTGCGGGCATATCCCCAATCAAG